TTTTTTTGAGATGAAGTTTTGCTCTTGCTGCCCAGGCTGGAGTAGAGTAGTTTGATCTTGACCCACGGCAAGCTCCGCCTCCTGGTTCAAGCAATTCTCCTGCCTCGGCCTCTGAGTAGGTGGGATTACAGGCGTGCGCCATCACGCCCCGCGAATTTTGTATTTTTAGCAGAGATGGGGTTTCTCCAGGTTGGTCAGGCTGGTCTCAAACTCCCGGCCTCAGGTGATCCACCTGCCTTGGCCTCCCAAAGTGCTGGGATTACAAGCGTGAGCCACTGTGCCCAGCAAAAACTCTTTCTAAACTGCACAGAGTTGTTTTTCTGTCTGCAGGGCCGATTAACTTTCAAGAATGGGCGTGTGTTCGAAGGAGAATTCTCCAATGACCACATAGCTGGGTTTCCAGATCTCAAAGTTGAATTCATCAGCTGCCAGGACCTGTCTTCAGGAGCTGCCCAAAGATTGTCTGAGAGTGCCGGTAGGAAGCGTTCACCTGTTGAAATAATATTCATCTGTTTTTATCCATGCTATCCACTCGTGAAAATACACCAGACACTTCAGAAAACAGGAGTCCTCTGTGAGGAACTTTTTTTTTTTTTAATTTGAGACAAAGACTCACGCTGTCACCCAGGCTGGAATGCAGTGATACCCTCACTGTTCAGTACGGCCTCAAACTTCAGGGCTCAGCCTCCCCATTAGCTGGGAATACATGTGTGCACCACCATGCCTGGATAATTTTTAAACTTTCTGTAGAGGCAGGGTCTCGCTATGTTGTCGAGGCTGGTTCAAACTCGTCCTCAGGCAGTCACTTGCCTCTGCCTCCCAAAATGTTGAGATTACAGGTGCAGGCCATCATGCCTGGCTAGCAACTGCTTTAAAAAATGTTTTTTTTTAGAGATGGGATCTCTCTGTTGCCCAGATTGGAGTGATGTGGTGCGATCATAGCTCACTGCAGCCTTAACCTCCCATTTTGGCTTCCCCAAGTGCTGGGATTACAGGCATGAGCCACTGTGTCCACCTGCTTTCTTAGTAGCTTTTTGGAATACTTCCGTATCTCAATTTGGTGAGAAATCACTGTGACATAACATTGAGAAATTTTAACATTGCTTTTCATAATTACTTCCAAGGATGGGCATGGTGGCTCATGCCTATAATCTCAGTACTTTGGAGGCCACGGCAGGTGGATCGCTTGAGCTCAGGAGTTCAAGACCTGGGCAACACGGTGAAACCCCGTGTCAACAAAAAATAGAAAAATTAGCTGGCTGTGATGGCACATGTCTGTAGTCCCAGCTACTCGGGAGGCTGAAGTGGCTTGTTTGAGCCTGGGAGGCAGAGTTTGTGGTAAGCTGAGGTTGTGCACTGCACTCCAGCCTGTGCAACGGAGTGAGGTCCTGTCTCAAAAAACAAAAATGAAACAAAACAAAAACAACCACCAAACCATAACCATCCCCTGTATTTGCCTTTATTCGTTAGAACTTATCAGAAAGCTTGATGGCAGTGAAAGTCACTCTGTGTTGGGATCAAGCGTTGAGCTGGATTTAAATTTGCTCCTGAACATGTACCCTGAGACAGTCCAAGCTGAAGAAAAGAAGCAGGTAAAATCCTTTTTATTGCTATCAATTTCATCCTGGGGAAATATAGCTGGCAGCTGCTGTCCTGTGTTGAATTTTTTTTTTTTTTTTTTTTTTTTTTTGAGACAGAGTGCTGCTCTGTCGCCCAGGCTGGAGTGTGGTAACATGATCTCGGCTCACTGCAACCTCTGCCTCCTGGGTTCAAGCAATTCTCCTGCCTCAGCCTCCTGAGTAGCTTGGATTACAGGCAACCGCCATTATGCCTGGCTAATTTTTATATTTTTGTAGAGATGGGGTTTCAACATGTTGGCCAGGGTGTTCTCGAACTCCTTACCTCAGGTGATCTGCCTGGCTCTGCCTCCCAAAGTGTTGGGATTACAGGCATGAGCCACTGTGCCAGGCATAGAATAATGCTTTAGATAAGGTAGACGATACATGTTTATTCAGTTGAATTGAGTTTTCTCTTTTGTTATTTGTTGAGACAGAGTCTTGCTATGTCACCCAGGCTGAAGTGCAGTGGTGAGATCTTGGCTCACTGCAACCTTCACCTTCCGAGTTCAAGTGATTCTCCTGCTTCAGCCTCTTGAGTAGCTGGGATTACAGACCCTGCCACCATGCCCAGCTAATTTTGTATTTTTAGTAGAGACGAGGTTTTACCATCTTGGCCAGGCTGGTCTTGAAATCCTGACCTCAGGTGATCCTCCTGCCTTGGCCTCCCAAAGTGATAGGATTACAGGATTGTACTACTGCGCCCGGCCGCCTTTTGTTCTTACTCCACAGGATTAAGACACGCATGGCTTTCTTCCTTTCAGGTGGAATATGCTGTCTTAAGAAACATTACAGAATTAAGAAGAATCTATAGCTTTTATAGCAGCCTGGGATGCGACCACTCTCTGGATAATACTTTTCTGATGACAAAGCTTCACTTCTGGAGATTTCTAAAGGATTGCAAATTTCATCACCACAAACTAACTCTTGCTGATATGGACAGGATATTAAGTGGTGAGTATTCCAGGTCCTTCACATCTTTTGGTTTAAAGCAGAGGTCTCCAACCCCTGGACCATGGACCAGTACCGGTCTGTGGCCCGTTAGGAACGAGGCTTCTCAGTGGAAGGTGAGCAGTGGGCAAGCAAGTGAACCTTCCTCTGTTTTTTTTTTTTTTTTTTTTTTTTTGCGATGGAATCTTGCTCTGTCACACAGGCTGGAGTGCAATGGCGCTATCTTGGCTCACTGCCACCTCCACCTCCCAGATTCAAGTGAGTCTACTGCCTTATCCTCCCAGGTAGCTGGGATTACAGGCATGCACTACGCCCAGCTAACTTTTGTATTTTTAGTAGAGATGGGGTTTCACCACGTTGGCCAGGCTGGTCTTGAACTCCTGACCTCGTGATCCACCTGCCTTGGCCTCCTAAAGTGCTGGGATTACAGGTGTGAGCCATTGCGTCTGGCCCCTTGATCTGTTTTTACAGCCGCTCCCCATCGCTGGCATTACCGTCTGAGCTCTGCCTCCTGCAGATCAGCAGCAGCATTAGATTCTCATAAGAGCGCTAATCCTGTGAACTGCACATGAGTGGGATCTAGGTTGCGTGTTCCTTATGAGAATCCAATTCCTGATATTCTGTCACTGTCTCCCATTACCACCAGATGGAGCCATCTAGCTGCAGGCAAACAAGATCACAGCTCCCACTGATTCTGCATGATGGTGATTTGTATAATTGTTTCATTTTGTATTACAATGTAGTAATAATAGAAATAAAGTGGCCACACCTGCAATCCCAGCACTTTGGGAGGCCGAGGCAGGCAGATCACGAGGTCAGAAGTTCAAGACGACCCTGGCCAAAATGGTGAAATCCTGTCTCTACTAAAAATACAAAACATAAAATTAGCCGGGTGTGGTGGTGTGCGCCTGTAGTCTCAGCTACTTTGGAGGCTAAGACAGAAGAATCGCTTGAACCTGGGAGGCGGAGATTGCAGTGAGCGGAGATTGTGCCACTACACTCCAGCCTGGGCGACAGAGTGAGATTTCATCTTAAAATAATAATAATAGAAATAAAGTGCACAATAATTGTAATGCACTTGAATCATCCTGAAACCAACAACTCCCCACCCCTTCCCACCATTCATGGAAAAATTGTCTTCCACAAAATCGGTCCCCAGTGCCAAAAAGGGTGGGGACCGCTGGTTTAAAGGACAGTATCACAGTGTCACCTGGAAACCAGTTAAGAAATGTGGAGGGAGTGGGGAGGGCCAAGGTTGGGAGAAGTGTCCCAGAAATCAGCACATGGTCTTGTTCCCCTGGCAATGATGATGTACTTGAAGAGACAGTTTTATGATGAAACAGCAGTAGTAGGAGGTCACCTACAGCAGGGCCAGCAACTCATGGCCCCAGGGTGAAATCCAGCCCACCCGCTGTTCCTCTAAATCATGCTTTACTGGAACACAGACAGGCCCGTTTGCTTATGTGTCTGTGACTACTTTTCCCCAAAGCACCACAGTTGAGGAGTTGTGATGGAGATTGTCTGGACCAACAAGCCTAAATATTTACTCTCTGGCCCTTTACAGAAAGTTTGCCTCCCTCTCTCCCCCGACCACTGATCTATAGTAAAAAAGCCCTCAATTATCAGGTCAGAAATGGGGAGACAGCCAGGAATTGTGGCTTCCACCTATAATCCCAGCACTTTGGGAGCCCAAGGCGGCTGGATCACTTGAGGTCAGGAGTGTGAGACCAGCCTGGCCAACATAGTAAAATCCTATCTCTACTAAAAATACAAAAATAAGCCAGGTGTGGTGGCATGCGCCTGTAGCCTCAGTTACTCAGTGGGAGGCGGAGGCAGTAGAATCGCTTGAGCCTAGATGGAGGTTGCAGTAAGCCAAGATTTCCAGCCCAGGCGACAGAGTGAGACTCTGTCTCAAAAAAAAAAAGCCTGGGGTGCAGTGGCTCCTGCCTGTAATTCCAGCAGTTTCAGAGGCCAAGGTGGGTGGATCATGAGGTCAGGAGTTCAAGACCAGCGTGGCCAATATGGTGAAACCCCATCTCTACTAAAAATACAACAATTAGCCAGGCGTGGTGGTGCATCCCTGTAGTCCCAGCTACTCGTGAGGCTGAGGCAGGAGAATTGCTTGAATTCGGCAGTCAGAGGTTGCAGTGAGCT